AAAAAAAAAAAACGAGAGATCAGATCAAAGTATACTAAGCTTACCTTGAATACTATGAAAATTAATCTTCTCGGTTCATGGATTAAAAACCATAAAAAAAATTGAAGTATATCAAAAGAAGAAATAGGATAACGTTAACATAGATGGTATTGGTATTTTTTTCTTTCTAATTATTCATCTGAGTAAAGAGATCGAAACAAAACTCAAAACATTAAACACAAACCATACCACGTGCATTGGTATGGCCGATCATATTTAGCTTGTATTCTTATGTAAAGTGTGTTTTCGATTTTATCTCTTCTCATAGAAGCAAAGACAAAAAAATTACAACGACACCTACTTCCACCCAAAAGCAAGAATCTTGAGAACAAAAAGTGAAATATTTCTCCATTTATAAATATAACAAACATATTTTATAATGCTAGTATGCCAAAAGTTCTACCAACATTCATAAGGAAAAAAAAAAAAAAAGGTCCATGTTAGGCAGTTAGCAAGGCTATCTGAAGAATTATGCATGACAAAATGTCATCTCTTTAACAATGTTTTAATATGAAATATAAAGATTCTCGAGCATTCCACATTTTCATTGTCTTTAAACCTTGTAAAAGAATTGCAGGCAGTTCAGGCAATCCTCGAGAAATCGAAAATGGACTATCAACATGCTGAATACTACAAACAAGGAAAAATAACTTACAGAAAACTGAAGTAACTTACTACAAAAGCCTAATACACAACTAGGCAAACTTTAGCACACCCTTTGCATTCATGCATCCCACTTAGTTTCACTTGAGTCTAACAAAACATACCAGACAACAAACAAGAGCTTCAGCTTCTATGCATTGTATCCAACACATTATCACCACAAATAAAAGGAGTAAATTACAATTTTAGTCCTGAATGTTTCACTACTTTAACTTTTTCGTCCTCTTCAAATTGTTTTTATTTTCGTCCCGTATGTTTGAAAACTGGTTACGAAAAGGTCCGCAAAAAAGTGTTCAAAAAATTTCGTCCCTTATGAGGACTTTTGTGTAACCTTTTTGCAAACATACCAGACGAAAATAAAAAAACGCAATTCGAAAAGGACGAAAAAGTTTAAGTAGTGAAACATTCAAGACTAAAATTATATTATAAAAAATATCATCAATAGAAATGAAAACCCAGAAATGATGAATGAAAGAATTTACGAACGATCACTTTATCGAAACTGTAGTTCCGAACGAAATTGACAACCCACATTGCAAGAATCGGAAATCCCAAGCGAAATCAAGAAACAGATCGCTCAAAAGACCAATCATTATTAAAAGAAACGAAAAAATCCACACGCCGAGAGCCGATTATTGAAATTGTATAAACTGCAAAACGTAATTCAAAGAAGATCAAAAGAAATCATCGATGATCAGAACAAAAAACATAAAAGGAATCTACCTGGAGGTGGTGGTGTTTTCTTGTTATCGGACCTCCTCTTTCTTTTCCCCATAATTGAAAAACCAAAAAGGGTAATTTTTCTTTGATCTTTTAGAAAGAGCGAGAAAAATAAGGAACAAATGTATGCAAAAGAATTTGACGATGGAAGGCGCAAACGTTCGAGGGTTTAAGGTGACCAGATGGTTTAGGGAAAGAGAGAGAGGGTGTGTGCGCGACAGAGATAAAGCAGTAAGGCGAGGTGAGAGTAAGAAGGAGCACTTGGCAGCTCACGAGTCGTGAAAAAAGGAGATGAAACGGAAAGTGCGAATGGGTAACGCACGTTTAGCTATTATTATTGTTATTATCATTTTTTTTTTTTTAAAACGATAGATTTTATAATCAGAACTGCTATTTGTCGCCCCAAATTACTACTTGTCGCCCGAAAATAATAATAACAAATAATAAATTTACAAAAATATCCTTGTGGTAAGAAAAAAAATTATTGAAAAAAAAATATTCAAACGTCTACTAGCTATGCTTGGAAGCCGACAAAACGTCTATAAGCTCAGCTTGACAACAAAGAAAACGTCCGGTAGTGAAGCCCGACTGTGATACTAAACGTCCAGGACCTGTGCTTGGAAGCCATGTAAACGTCAAATGATGAAGCCCGACTCTGAAGAGAAACGTCTAAGTGGTAAGGGGCAACACATGTAAAACTTTAACATTTCACGCTTATATTGCCTTTAAACGTCTAAAATGAAAGCTTTAGTCCACGTGAAACATCAAAATCTTAAGCTTTGGAGCACAGTAAACGTCTAGTTCTAAAGCTTTCTTGTGAAATCAAACGTCCCAAAGCTATGCTTCTAATGTAGTTAAACGTGCAAAATGAAAGCTTGACTGTGAAAACAAACGTTCCAAAGCTAAGCTTGTAAGTTAGTCAAACGTTCAACAACGAAGCTTTACTTTGAATCAAACGTCCATAATCAAAGTTTGAGGGTCAAGTAAACATCTAACTGGAAAGCTTGAGGTCATGTGTAGCGTCCAAGAGCTAAGCTTTCAAGCATATCAAACGTTCTTGATTGAAGTTTACCTATGAAAGCAAACGTCCAGAAGCATGCTTGGTAGCCAAGGAAACGTCCAACGTGGAATCTCCATTGTGAAATTCTGGACTCGTGTGTAAAAAATTTTCACCAGGTGGGCCGAGTCCGGGCTGGCCCTCGAGGCGTCCCGCCATATTTACCTTTTTTTTTAATCTGTTGACCGAGTCAAGCCGACCCGTGGCCTTATATTGGACCGGTGGCAACCCACTAATCTGATTGTTGAAAGCTTTTGACTGTTGGTCAAGATTTAGTTATGAAATATTTTTAATATTTTATTAGTCTATTGATAAGTTAGCAGTCGAGAGTCCAGGATCTCGTACAATGTCCATGACTAAGACAAGGAATCGGACCCCGATTCTGATAGTTGTAAATAGACCTCACTAATTAGAACTTAGTCCGTAGATTTTGCCAAGTTCTCAAAATCGGACCGGTCATCAAACCGGTGAAGCTACTGGTTCAATGGTTCAATGGTCGGACCAGTGATCGAACCGGTCCAACCGGTTTAACAAATATATAATTTATATATTTATTTTATATGTATAATATATAGTTATGTATATATTTATCATTAATTTTATAGCATATAATGACATTTTTCTAAATAAGAGTTGAAAAATCAATTTTTTAAGTATAGTTACCATAAACAATACTAAATAAAGTTCACTCAAACATTAACATAATCAAAATCCGTAAGTTCTTCAACACCCATCGATAACTGTTAGCTGACTCATCCTTAATAATTGCATAAGCAATCAATAAAATTTTATTTCCAGGAGTCATGCCTATAATTTGGAACAAAGGCATCCCGTACCTGTTTGTCTTGTACGTTGAGTCCATGCCAATGACCCAAGGGTATGCTCTAAGTGTCTTTTTGGACTCTGGATGGACCAAGAACACATGAGTTATCTTATTTGTATCGTGATCTCTAAGTGATTGAATATCATATTCGTTCTCCTTAGCCAAATTGTAGAATTGTTGAATCATACTCCTTTTCCCAAATGATGCCCTCCGGAGCTTTGCCTTGTAGTTGTAAATTTGTTTGATGTGACAATGGTCCTCCGGAAATGATTGTTGAACAGCCAACAATATATTTTTCGGCTGTGTTTGAGAAAGAACCATCGACCGAATAAGTTTCTTTGCTCCATCACTAAGAGCACTCATTTGCCGATGTCCCTCTGCATATTCAACGGGCTCATGATTGTGTCTACCCTCTTCACATTCCATAACCCAACTATGTAACTCTGAACGTGGAGTCAAGTTTTTCAATATTATTGTGAACTCACAACCACAAACAATGGTCTTTGTATTCTTTCTCTGTCTTGGTTTTGGAGTCCCTCCATCTTTCGATTTTTTTCTGTTGGCCCGATTACATCTAAGCCTTACACTGGTGGGTAAATGCTTTGAAGTTATTTTCAACTCATACCCTGTGTATATGGCAAGAAAGTAGCAATATTGCAGAGCTTCACTATAACTCTTATGTATTTTCCCGTCTTGAAAATAATCTGTATAATCTTCAAATTCATCCTGTAAATAGTTAAATTACATAATTTATACAACATTTGGTTAGAAGTAAATATTAAAAATAATCATAAATCCTATAGGTGATAAATGAAGAAAAGTATAAAATTTAGTTGCAGAAAAACAAGCTTGTTGTTTAGACGTTGGAAGTGCTTATAAGCATTCTTACTAGACGTTTCAGAGACCTACAAGCATACGAATAGGACGTTTCTTTTAACAGTCGGGCTTTTGATTTGGACGTTTATAGGCTCTTGTAGCTTAACTTTAGGACGTTTACATACATTGTGAGCTTAGCTATCAGACGTTTAATTAACGTTCTAGCTTTTACCTGAAACGTTTATGGAACGAACTTAAACCCTAATCTACATCTATTATCACTCTATCCATTCTACCATACTAATCATCCATCACATTGGTTTAATGAAACATTTATGAAGAGGATTTACTGATCTAAGTCCTAAAATAACTCAAACACTCAAAAATCAAGAGATCTATTTGTTCTTGAAAATCAATGTAAAAAAAAAAA